ACATAAAAATTAAAGTCTTTCTCTGTCTACCTGTTGTAGCGAAAAGCTTAAAAAAATGTTTTACAATTTGTTTTTTTTGTTTTGTGCATTTTTTTTTTTTTTTTATTTTCTTTTATTTTAATACATTGAAATGATTTCTCTCGATTTCGCCAACGGTATTTATTTCGCATTTCAAGTTTTCTGTTATTTCGTTTGGTTTGTTAAGCGGATTTCAAAAACAGTCAAAAATCATTAAAGAAGATTTTGATGCGAAGCACACAGAATTTATGACAAACTCATTAAATACCGACATTGTTTCATCAATACAAAAACCATTTTTATGGCATTGTACTTTGAAAAGACGGACAGACAAAGGAAGAGCTCAACAGACATTGTTAAAAGTTAATTGATTTTTTGATTAAGTTTTCAAAATTCTGTGCCACATTAAGAAAAGAATGTTGTTTGTCGGTAATAAGCAAAATTAAGAAAAAAAAAAAAAAAAGAACAAAAAAAACACAAACAACTCTAAGAGGATAAGCTACGCTTAACGATAAGTTATTTCGTTCAAGACACAAACGCGCTCTAGAACATCGCGTTTTGCCTAATCCATCACCAGTCGATGAATCAAATCTTCGCGGAATCAGAATTCTTATGTTGTTACACTAATAAGCCTCTTAACAAAACTTTTTAAAATTTAGAATAGAATAAGCAAAGGCTAGAAGAAGAAGAAAAAATCGATCCTATTAAATAAGCTTCCAAGATATCTCAGTCAAACCCTGTCAAACTCATGGGGCGGGAGAGATATTTGGTTTTCAACTCTTAAACTTGCTAGAATTTGTTTCTGTTAAGCGCACCTTTTGCCGTTAAAAACATTCACAAGAGAAATTGTAAAGCAAATGCTTGCTTAAGCTATCGCGTCTGCTTTAATCTTTAGAATAAGAAATATAATTGAAACAAATTATATATAAAAAGCATTATATCATACATAACCAGTTTGGCTTCAGGCTCGTCAATAGAGCGAAACGTAACCAAAAGGAGAACATATTTAGTGAGTGAACACACAATCAAGGAAGGTGCCCTTAAAGGAGCGGACGTCAAACGTTATACATATGTAAATTAAATTCAAATGGGCAAAGTGCGTTCTTTTTGCAAGTCCTGCGGTTTATACAACTAACCTTTTTCTTAGCTCAAGAAAGTCTTGAGTTTCCAACGAAACGATATGATCGCGACGCTTCAACTTTTTTTTGCTCACTGTATTAAATACATTTAAGCGCGAAATCGACCACGAAGTAGACAAGCCTGATGAATACTTTTTCTGAGGGTTCAACTATAAGATAAGCGCCTATTATGACTGCACATTTAAGCAAGGGAAAGAAAAATTACATCATCGTGGAAATAAGAATAAGAAAAGTCCCAAAATGTCCACTTGTGGATTCCTGAAAATTTAACAACAATGCGTACACTACACCTCAAATATGCAGACCATTTTTCAAACTTTCGTATTTTGTATTCATTTCCCGACATTCATAAAAGTTTCGTTAAATGCGCTAAGACTTATATAGAAAACGACTATAGATGAAGTAATTTTCACAACTTTTATTAGAGATGTATTCATGAGAAAGCATCCATCCACGTAGTTCGACGCTCTTTGTACTATTGGTCGATTTCAGACATAGCTTAGCAGCTCCAATGAGCTCTATTGTAAGTACGACCCCGGGGTGAAGTAAAAAATTAAAAAGAAATCTTAATATGTAACGAAGCAGTTTTGAAGGTCTCTATTGTTTTGTTACTGATTTGCTCATAAATACATAATAAGGCTGCAGTTTACTCTTAAGATGATTTCTATTAACGCTAGCACCGAATAACTGAGTACAATAGTTTGATTCCTTGTCTATAATCAATGTTTTCCTATCTGGTGTAAGACCGTTTGACTTCAATTTTTTTTTTTTTTGCAAAACATGGCTAATAGCATTTCGAAACTACCTCCAAAAAATTGTTAGTTTCAGAAGATAACAGGAAAACTTTTTTTCGAGTTTGCCTTAATTTCTTTCCTGTTATATGTCTCAGGGCAGACCGCATTCACTTTTTTTTTAGCTTTCTCTTGATTAACGGAGTTCGCTTGAATAATTTCAGCTTCCTATCTTCATTTGTGAGATTATGGCAATACCAAACCAACTTACAAAACTTTAATAGAAATATGGAAATATTATATAATATATTATATTATTATTATTATAGGGTGCTTTTTGCACACAATTTGCACCAGTATTGTATCGGTGTGTTAGCTTAAGATTATAATAGAATGGATTTCTTTTTGCTTGACTAAGATTCGAAAAAACATACTACTACTTATCTAAAATATATATGTAAAGATATCCGTCGTTTCGTCCATGGTTTATAGATAAAATTATTTTCATCAAAATTAAAACGTAGAAAATACTAAAATTCGATTCATTTCTAGCCACAATGCCCCGTACGCGTTTACAAACTCCAGTTGTCCAAAACTATGCTAATAAAAATTCTTAAATGTTTATTAAACACCCTACTATTTAACGCGATTTACTTGTTATAACCTAAAGCGGCTTCAATTTGAATGTAAATATTTATAAAGGATAGCACACAGTGTAGAAGGTTAACGGGCCCAAATGAGGCGCCCGCAGTTAATGAAACTTCAGTTCAGTTTT